CCCAACCCTAACCCCCTAACCCTAACGGATCTAACCCTAACCCTAACCCTAACCCCATGGACCCCCATTCTCATTTTGGTTCCCCCCCAACTCATTTTGGTTCCCCCCCCCGGTGCGCCCCACAAATGGGTCCCCCCGGAAACAAAACCCCACACTTGGTTCCCCCCTCATTTTGGTTCCCCCCCCCGGTGCGCCCCACAAATGGGTCCCCCCGGAAACAAAACCCCGCACACTTGGTTCCCCCCTCATTTTGGTTCCCCCCCGGTGCGCCCCACAAATGGGTCCCCCCGGAAACAAAACCCCGCACACTTGGTTCCCCCCTCATTTTGGTTTCCCCCCCACCCCCCCTTGGGTCCCCCCAGCCCCACTGGACCCCCCCCCCGTGTGCCCCCCCCCACATTTGTCTCCCCCCCCGTCCTACCCGTGCCCAGCAGCAGCCGCTCGCACTCTGCCAGCGCCTTCCGCACCCGATGCTGCATCTCGGCCAGGTGGAGGCAAGCGCTGGAGGGGGGGGAATAAGGGGGGGGTCAATTTGGGGGGGGTCTGGGGGCATTTTGGGGGTTGGGGGCGCATTTAGGGGGCGGAGGGGACTGGTTCTCACCTGTAGGACTCGGCGTCGAGCCCCCCGGGGGCAGCTGCAGGGCCAGGATGCCTGGGGGGGTGCGGGGAGGGGCATGTCAGCACCCCCCAGACCGAAACCCCAAAACCGCTGCCGTTGACCCCAAAACCGCCGCCGTTGACCCCAAGGTGGCCGCTGGTGACGCCGGTAGGGCCACCGGGCGCCCCGCGGGCCACAAGTACCCAACCCCAACCCAAACCCCCTAACCCTAACCCCCCAACCCCTAACCCCCGACCCCCCCACCCTAACCGATCTAACCCTAACCCTAACCCTCTAACCACTAACCCCCAACCCTAACCCCCGACCCCCCCAACCAACCCCTAACCCTAACGGATCTAACCCTAACCCCCCAACCCTACAGATCTAACCCTAACCCTAATCCTCTAACCTAACCCCCCATCCTAACCCCCAAGTACCCAACCCCAACCCCCAACCCCCTAACCCAACCCCTAACCCCACCCTAACCCCAACCTAAACCCACCTAACCCCCTAACCCAACGGATCTAACCCAACCCTAACCTCTAACCCTAACCCCAACCCCTAACCCCCTAACACCCCCAACCCTAACCCCTAACCCTAAGGCTACTACCTAACCTAACCACTACCCTAACAACCCTAAAACCCCTAACCCCCTAAACCCCCTAACCCCCTAACCCTAACGGATCTAAGCCTAACCCTAACCCTCTAACCCTAACCCCCCAACCCCTAACCCCCTAACCCTAACGGCTAACCCTAACCTCTAACCCTAACGCCCAAACCCCCTAACCCCCTAACCCTAACGATCTAAGCCTAACCCTAACCCCCCAACCCTAACCCCCACTCCCCAACCATAACCCCCTAACCCTAACGGATCTAACCCTAACCCTAACCCCCCAAACCCTAACCCCCCAACCCTAACCCCCTAACCCTAACGGATCTAACCTAACCCTCTAACCCTAACCCCCCAACCCCCTAACCCCCCAACCCTAACCCCTAACCCTAACAACCAGGATCTAACCCTAACCCCCCAACCCTAATAGATCTAACCCTAACCCTAATCCTCTAACCCTAACCCCCACACCCTAACCCCCAAGTACCCAACCCCAACCCCCAAACCCCCTAACCCTAACCCCCCAACCCCTAACCCCCAACCCTAAACCCCCAACCCTAACCCCGACCCCCCAACCCTAAAGATCTAACCCTAAACTCTACCTAACCCCCCAACCCTAACCCCCAACACCCAACCCCCAAACCCCCTAACCCCCAACCCCCTAACCCCCAACCCTAAACCCCCAACCCTAACCCCAACCCCAACCCTAACCCCCTAACCCTAACGGATCTAACCCTAACCCTAACCCTAACCCAGGACCCCCACTCATTTTGGCCCCCACCATTTCCCCCCCCGGTGCGCCCCACAAATGCGTCCCCCCGGAACAAAACCCCGCACACTTGGTTCCCCCTCATTTTGGTTCCCCCCCCGGTGCGCCCCACAAATGGATCCCCCCGGAAACAAAACCCCGCACACTTGGTTCCCCCCTCATTTTGGTTCCCCCCCCCCGGTGCGCCCCACAAATGTGTCCCCCCGGAAACAAAACCCCGCACACTTGGTTCCCCCCTCATTTTGGTTCCCCCCCCCCGGTGCGCCCCACAAATGGGTCCCCCCGGAAACAAAACCCCGCACACTTGGTTCCCCCCTCATTTTGGTTCCCCCCCCCCCCGGTGCGCCCCACAAATGTGTCCCCCCGGAAACAAAACCCCGCACACTTGGTTCCCCCCTCATTTTGGTTCCCCCCCCCCCGGTGCGCCCCACAAATGTGTCCACCCGGAAACAAAACCCCGCACACTTGGTTCCCCCCTCATTTTGGTTCCCCCCCCACCCTTGGGGTCCCCCCAAGCCCCATGGACCCCCCCCCCCCGGTGCCCCCCCCCAATTTGTCTCTCCCCCCGTCCTACCCGTGCCCACAGCAGCCGCTCGCACTCTGCCAGCGCCTTCCGCACCCGATGCTGCATCTCGGCCAGGTGGAGGCAAGCGCTGGAGGGGGGGGAATAAATTGGGGGGGGTCAATTTGGGGGGGGTCTGGGGGCATTTTGGGGGTTGGGGGCGCATTTAGGGGGCGGAGGGGACTGGTTCTCACCTGTAGGACTCGGCGTCGAGCCTCCCCGGGGGCAGCTGCAGGGCAGGATGCCTGGGGGGGTGCGGGGGGGGCATGTCAGCACCCTCCAGACCAAAACCCCAAAACCGCCGCCGTTGACCCCAAGGTGGCCGCTGGTGACGCCAGGTAGGGCCACCGGGCACCCCGCAGGCCACAAGTACCCAACCCCAACCCCCAAACCCCCTAACCCTAACCCCCCAACCCCCTAACCCCCGACCCCCCCAACCGATCTAACCCTAACCCTCTAACACTAACCCCCAACCCTAACCCCCGACCCCCCAACCATAACCCCCTAACCCTAACGGATCTAACCCTAACCCCCCAACCCTTACAAATCTAACCCTAACCCTAATCCTCTAATCCTAACCCCCCATCCTAACCCCCCAAGTACCCAACCCCAACCCCCAAGCCCCCTAACCCTAACCCCCCCAACCCCCTAACCCCCAACCCTAAACCCCCAACCCTAACCCCCTAACCCTAACGGATCTAACCCTAATCTTCTAACCCTAATGCCCAAACCCCCTAACCCCCTAACCCTAACGGATCTAAGCCTAACCCTAACCCTCTAACCCTAACCCCCCCAACCCCCTAACCCCCCAACCCTAACGGAACTAACCCTAACCCTCTAACCCTAACGCCCAAACCCCCTAACCCCCTAACCCTAACGGATCTAAGCCTAACCCTAACCCCCCAACCCTAACCCCCGACTCCCCAACCATAACCCCCTAACCCTAACGGATCTAACCCTAATCCTAACCCCCCAACCCTAACCCCCTAACCCTAACGGATCTAAGCCTAACCCTCTAACCCTAACCCCCCAACCCCCTAACCCCCCAACCCTAACCCCCTAACCCTAACGGATCTAACCCTAACCCTAACCCTATAATGTGTCCGGGCGGCGCCGCGCTTAAATTTATCCGGGCGGCGCCACGCTAAAATGTGTCCGGTCGGCGCCGCGCTTAAATTTATCCGGGCGGCGCCGCGCTAAAATGTGCCCGGGCGGCGCCGCGCTTAAATTTATCCGTGCGGCGCCGCGCTTAAATGTGTCCGGGCGGCGCCGCGCTTAAATGTGTCCGAGCTGCGCCGCGCTTAAATTTATCCGGGCGGCGCCGCGCTTAAATTTATCCGGGCGGCGCCGCGCTAAAATGTGTCCGGGCAGCGCCGCGCTTAAATTTATCCGGGCGGCGCCGCGCTTAAAAATGCCCGGGCGGCGCCGCGCTTAAATGTGTCCAGGCAGTGCCGCGCTTAAATGTGTACGGGCGGTGCCGCGCTTAAATGTGTCCGGGCGGCGCCGCGCTTAAATGTGTCCGGGCGGCGCCGCGCTAAAATGTGTCTGGGCGGCGCCGCGCTTAAATGTGCCCGGGCGGCGCCGCGCTTAAATGTGCCCGGGCGCGGCAGCGCTATAATGTGTCCGGGCGGCGCCGCGCTTAAAAATGCCCAGGCGGCGCCGCGCTTAAATGTGTCCGGGCGGCGCCGCGCTAAAATGTGTCCGGGCGGCGCCGCGCTTAAATTTATCCGGGCGGCGCCGCGCTAAAATGTGTCCGGGCAGCGCCGCGCTTAAATTTATCTGGGCGTCGCCGCGCTTAAAAATGCCCGGGCGGCGCCGCGCTTAAGTGTGTCCAGGCGGCGTCGCGCTAAAATGTGTCCGGGCGGCGCCGCGCTTAAATTTATCCGGGCGGCGCCGCGCTAAAATGTGTCCGGGCAGCGCCGCGCTTAAATTTATCCGGGCGGCGCCGCGCTTAAAAATGCCCGGGCGGCGCCGCGCTTAAGTGTGTCCAGGCGGTGCCGCGCTTAAATGTGTACGGGCGGTGCCGCGCTTAAATGTGTCCGGGCGGCGCCGCGCTTAAATGTTTCCGGGCGGCGTCGCGCTAAAATGTGCCCGGGCGGAGTCGCGCTAAAATGTGCCCGGGCGGCGCCGCGCTAAAATGTGTCCGGGCGGTGCCGCGCTAAAATTTCCCTACTACATTTCCCGGTATGCTCTGGGCACCCAACATGGCCTCCCGGAATTCTGGAGTCCGAGAACTACATTTCCCGGTATGCTCTGGGCACCCAACATGGCCTCCCGGAAGTCCAGAGTCCGAGAACTACATTTCCCGGTATGCTCTGGGCATGCCACATGGCCTCCCGGAAGTCTGGAGTCCGAGAACTACATTTCCCGATATGCTCTGGGCACTCAAGATGGCCTCCCGGAAGTTTGGAGTCCTAGAACTACATTTCCCGGTATGCTCTGGGCACTCAACATGGCCTCCCGGAAGCCTGGTGCCGGAAAACTACACCTACCAGCATTCTCTGGCCAACCTGCATGGCCAATCACAAGCCGAGTTTTCGAGAACTACATTTGCCAGCACTCACTCTAACCGTACCCCTTACCACCGTCCTTACACAAGAAAGCCTCAAGCCCTAACCTTAAAAACCCTCGAAATCCCTACAGACCTAACCCAAACTATTTAACACACTAAACCCATGAAGACCTATGCCTAAAAGCCCTAACCCAAAAACTTAGGACACTCCAATCCGCCGGCTGCCTGCAGTACTCGTTCTGCACCAGCAAATGGCGGCAGAGGGCGCCCGCGGGCATCAACGCGCATGCGCGGCCGCCGGGCGCCTGCAGTACCCTGTTCCCACCAGCAGGTGGCGGCAGAGGGCTAAAATGTGCCCTGCGGCGCCGCGCTAAAATGTGCCCTCAAAACCCAAACCCCCAAAATAGGACACTCAAAACCCAAACCCTAAAAATTATGATGCTCAAAACCCAAACCCAAAAACTAGGATGCTCAAAACCCTATCCCAAAAAATTAGGATGCTCAAAACCCTAACCCAAAAAATAGGATGCTCAAAACCCTAACCTAAAAAATAAGACTGGGGGAAAACAAGCTCTGGGAGACTTTTAAGTGGTGCTACAGTATACTGGAGAGACCTGTGAGATGTCCAGGAGGCTTCTGATTCAAAGATCGAAGCTGAAATTCCTTTAAGTGTTATATTCTTTATTGCAGCGCTGGATGCACGGGGGATCTTTCCACCTATCGTGCATACCCAAAGCGGAAAGCAGTCTTGAATTTATACAATCAATCTACTAATATTCTACAAGTGCCTATACATATTCATCACCTATCCCTGCCTTCCCTCATTTCTCATGCTAATTAGCTTTTTGGCACCTTGTGCCTGCATAGAGCCTCCCAAGAATTGCGGGCAGGGGTCTTCGGGACGTGGGCAGTGGTCTTTGGGAGAAACCCGAGTCTTCCTCACTGTACTTTTCACCTTTGGTCTGGATTCTGCTGAGTTGGCACATTTCTTAATTGCAAGAACTGGCTTTTGCTGATTATTCTGCTTGTTGTATCTTTATCATGAATTCCAATGTCCAGTTTTGATATTTATAGTCCTTCCATTTGTTTCTCTGTCCGTCTGCCGCTTCCTTATTATGAGTTCCAGTGTCTTGTTTAGAGATATACAGTCCTTGTCTGGGGATTGTCCTTGCCTCCCCAATGTCTATTATCCTTGCTTCCCCAATGTCTCCTTAATCACTTTAGAACACAGTGAGGGCACTGGCAGCCTTCTGGGGGAGCCCTAGCATGCACTGAGAGATCTTTGGTGCTCTCTAGAGTACACTGGAGGGCTCTGGGATGCCTGCAGAGCAGGCATCCGGCAGGGGTGGGGGCGATACTGAGGGCCTCTAGAGTGCACTGGGATGCATCTAGGGGATGCTAGAGCACACTGGAGAGCCCTGTGAAATTTCCAGGGAGAGATGGAGCAGACTGCATGTTAACCTCCCAGCTATGCTCCCACTCATGCCCGAGCAGCAGTGCTACTGCACATAATCTTGAGGGGATTCTACTGCACATGCTCGCAGGGCACTGCTGCGTACACTCCCGAGGCAGCACAACTGCACATGTCCGATCGTCGGCACTACCACCCACGTTCGCGTACCGGCACTTACTGTGCATGCCTGAGTGCAGGCACTGCTGCGCATGCTCGCCGCTCTGCCTTTGTTCTTGCTTGCACTTCTCGTTGCCTCTGGGGCGCATGCGCGCCGTGCTGGCTCTTGCATGTGCTGCGTTTTGCTCACCAGAGAGCAGCAGTGAGTGCTGTGCTGCCCGAGCTATGCGCAGGAAGATGCTGTGTTTGCGACTTTTGATCACAAGGTGGCACAAGTGAGTTTGTAACAGCTACTGCGCATGCGTGTCACGCAGTGCTTTACGTTTTCTGATCTGCTTCTAATGATTTCAACGGGAACTGTGCAAAAAAGACACGAAGCTGGTGGGAGACTGCACCTCTCACCTCCGTCTCAAAGGAGAAAAATTAGCCCTTGCCGTGTGCGGCTACTTACTGGCAGTAAAGCAAATGACAACTACTCATGGCATGCACTGGAAACTACAGAGGCTGGCTGGAAGCCCAAAGACTACAACTCCCAGCATGCTGCAGGACTCAATACTTTCTGACCCTACAGCAGCACACCCTCCCACACCCACGCACTCCGCTACCAAATGCGGAAGCCATGCAGAACCTGGTGTGACACCTCTTGCCTCTGTGTCCATCTTGGCACAACCCTCCCTGTAGCTTCTCGACGCCTATCCCAGCCTTCCCTCAGGACAGCCAGTCCCACAGCTGTCTCCCAGGTGGACCCAGCGCCTCCTGTGCCATCTCCACAGGCCCCAGTAGTCTCATGAAAGCCCAACCACAGTCACCCTGACTCTGTCCACAAGAGCTGGCAACTACTCCTTTGTCAGAGAACAGCTCCAAAGCCCCTTTACACAGTAGGGCCATCCCCTTCTGCCTCTAACAGGGGCTCTTCCAGACCCATCCAGCAGCTGCCACCCTTCAGGAATGCTGGGCCACCACCTAATACATTCACACACACACACATGCACTATTTAACCTGCTTCCTTGAACATAGTGACAGCCACTTACTCTGTGCAAAGGGACTGCAAACACAGGAGTGCAATAAATAAAGCAGCTGTTTATTCATGCACATCAGTGCCTGGAGTGAGGCCGCTGCATGGCTGATGGTCCCTATGCACCCATTTTCCCCCATTTAACCTCAGAAATCAGCACTGGATCAGCACTCATCTGTCCCATGCTGATGTGTTGCTTTCTGTTACCATGGAGCAGGGCTGGAGGAAGGAAAAATAAGGCCAGGGAGCAGGACAGAGGCGTAAAGAGCGAAAAAGAGAAGCACCATCTAGACAGGTGGGTATAGCAAGGAACAATGGGGCAGGCAGCAGAACAGTGATTTGCAGGGGAAGATGAGACAGATGCAGATAGCAGTGACAGAAGAAGAAAAAGGGAAAGAGAGGGGAGTAGGGAGCCAGAGGCATGGATGGATAGGTACAGTGGGAGATGGTGGATGTTGAAGAAGCTTCTTGCTTGGTCTCTCTGCCAGCTTCCTCCTTTGCAGATCCCATTGCTTGTCTGTCATCCACCTAAGAGAATGCACTGGCATCTTATAACTCTGGTAACATTAGAATTCATAAATAACTAGTGTCTCGCACATACCCGGTATGTAACCATACAGCACTTTTAATGACATACACAGATCATGCCATGGATGCTGGTGACCCAGTCTGCTAAGGACAGCTAAGAGGGATCCTTCTTCCCCCACAGACAACAGCTTTCTTGTCTGCAGGTAGAGGCAGCTTCCAGCCACACCCACTTCATTTCAGTCTTCATCTGTCTTATTTGTTGCTGGTCTTATCTTCAGCCACAGCAGTTTCTGTCAAAAGTGAGCGATGAGTCCACCTTCCTCATTTCACCCATGCCACTACAACAGTGAGGCAAAATCCTGCAAATCTAAATCAGATGGAGTCGGTGACATCCACAGCAGAGAAGAGTATAACTTAGCCCTCACTGCTAGCCCTGAAAGAGGAAGAGAACACACAACTGTTATCAACGGGTATTATCCAAATCTATTTTAGGCTAGCACCCTTCCCTCTGTATGAATTTCTGTACTGCTCTTTCCCAAATTGACTCAAACCTGCTTCAAGGTTGGTCCTGGAGCTAGAGACAGCCATGCAGGGCAACCAGTGTTGGGGGAGTCTCCATGGAAGCTCTGAGGAGGTGGGGAGGCATCCAGCATCTGTAATTGGGGGGGAGGGGGGGATGAGACTAATATCTTTTTACCATCCTCCCCTCTGCCAGTTCTCCACTCTTTCCCTGGGGCTGCCCCAACTTCAACTGACAGGGAACCTTTCATAGTTCTCCCAGGCAAGTGTGCCTGGCAGACCCAGCCCACAAGCCACTGTACACCCACCCTGCTCTGGGGCTCCTGGCTCCCTGTGTGCATGGCCACCCAGGGCTGCACAAGGCCATAGGAAAGACCACAGCAGTGGCTGCCCCTGCCCCACAACCCCTGCCCACACCCAGCAGGCTGTGCCCCGCAGTCCCCTGGCACCAAGCGTCTCCATCACATCATCCTGGGGCATTCAGGAGACACCCCTGAGCCCACCACTGCCAAAAGGTCTCGCTAGCTGCACTGGTGGTCCCAACACTTACCTGGTGCCACTAACATTTATGCTGAAATGAAATGCTTTCTTACTGCCGCCATGGTGCAGAGAGTACAGCACTGCTACTGTGCATGAGCAGAGCTGGGTGCTGCAGTTCTGCATTTTGGGCATGGGGAGGCAGTAGCGATCATGGCAGCACTTGAGTTAGGTGTGGAGTAATCCTGTTACAGTAAAATTCCAGGAGAGGTCCTCAGGATACAACAGCGGTGAAAAGATGCTATAGAACCAGGGGAGTACTGAGGGACACAATAAAGGGTTTTGCAGGAGTCAAGAGAAAACTGTAATGGTCCTGAATGGGTGAGTGGGACAACATGTCCACTCAAAAGCCCAATAGCAGAACACAACATGTCCCTGCATGCATCTTTGCCTATGTGTTTGTAAGCTTGGAATCCACCTCACCCCATCATGAAGATGAGGGGACAGACTGTGATGGTTTACCTGGAATTCTAAGGGAAGAATGTTTGAAGGTATTGTGTGGTTTAAGAATATCTTAGAGAAGTCGGGATGGATGGTAAAACAATGGCTGTGTCTCAAGACAGTAATAGATGGCTGTCAGTCTGGAACAGTTTGGAAGATGATGGGAAGGGTAAGGAAGCAAATTAATGTAATGGAAGAGGCAGTTCAAAAGGAGTGTGAAGTCTGTGAGAGCAGTGATGGAGCAGTAACTGAGGGATGCTTCTGAAGTCAGGAAAGGGCTATGCTTCCAGGCTAGTTGTTCTGGTGCTTTGAGGTATTAAGCAGGTATCAGGGTATAATGTTTTACCTGTCTCCCACTTGAATTGTTATTACTTTTCTCCTTTGTGATCTAGACCCTAACTTCCTAAGTACTAGCCTAAAAATACCTGACTGTAACTTGATTCTGAAACAGGTGCTTTATACATGATCTCTGTACTGTTGACTAAAGCAGTATCTCTTATGCAGAGAAATTGTTGTCCTTCTTTTCTTTTTTCTTTTTTTTTTTTTTCTCTTTAATGGGTATTGGCACTAACACTGTGCAGGCCAAGTGCTAGATGGATGTCTCCACTAACTGAGTTAAGAGTATATAAGTATGCTAAGTGGAAGTTGTGTGTCAAAAGTGACTTCAGTCTTGACCCTGAACAGACAGTGAGGCAATGGTTAAGTTCCAACATTCTTTTCAGCATTGAGATTCTTGTTGTTTCTCTTTTACATTACAAATTATGTTGTCATTTTGCAGGTACTACCTAGTCCCATTTCAGGCTCACATCTGCACTTTTGCTATCTCACATGGCTGTACAGTATATATTTCCTCACAGCTTGCTTTCATAGCTTAGCAATCTCCTCAGAAGTTTCAGTGCATGTAAGGAAGCTACCTAAAATACTTCTTGAATCAGACCACAGAGACATGAACCCTAGATGGAACATTACAAATCCTACTTAAGGTTTGGAGTTCAAGTGTCAAATCTTTCAGGAACTTATAATTTACTTTAGCAAACCATAAAATGCTAAACCATTGAATGTAAATCCTAAATCCTAAATCCAATATTGTGACTGATAAGACATATTAGCCCTCAATCATAGTGATAACCTAGTGTTATCCTGTAAACTATAAACTTCTGGAAATAGACAGCAAGCACTAAAGGTTAAACCACATCAACTGTAAGCAATAACCAGTAAAGCCAGTTAAAAATCTCTAAAAAACTCTAAATGTTGTTACAGCTGTTTTAGAACTTTTTTTTAGCTTCTGGATGGAAAATAATATTTCAGAGAAATCTTATGCACTATTAACATGTTTAAAATTCTAAAGACGTTTTCCTGTACTGAATGAAGGCATTGAAAATATCTTTATATGACCAGCCTCAGGAAAAAGAAGTCAAAACAATGCTGAATTACACGTGAAATAACACTAATTCAAATCAAAGATTGCTTTTAGCATTCAGAGTTAGCAGACTAATTATTCAAAGGCAAGATGGTTGATTGACTTAGAGAATGATAGCTGTTCGTGGTCTAAATGGGTTCCAAGGCTGAATTGGGAGTATATGTTACTATACCTAAGGGAGAAAAGATATTAAAGTGTTAAAACTTTCTACACATGCAATACAAAGAAAGCTAATAAGAACAACTGTGCTGGCTCTACAGGGAACAACGTGCAAAATAATTTAAAAAAATAAATAAATTACAGTCTTATAGAAGTTGGCATTTTCAACAGGAAGTTGCAGGAGAAGATATCCATGAATGTATGTGCATCGTTGCACATACAAAAAAAGGTGAGTTTCTTTCTAAAAAAAAAAAAAACAAAAACACTTTGTAGCATCTTCTTACGGAAGTCTCACAGCACTCCCATATTATTAGAGACACAAAAACGGCATTGTAATAAACATAAAAATAAAAATAAAAGCCAAGCTATGACGGAATAATACATCTGATGAAAGATAAAGAATTCTGATAGACCCAGTAATTTTATGATGTTTCTTTTCTTTAAAACAATTACTTTATTCTTCATGAAGCAGCAGCATCCACCCTCAACAGCTAAACGCGACAAGCATTTTTGCCTCCTGGGGTTTACCAGGGGTTATTTTGACTACTGATAAAGACAGCAGTGTTATGAAATCGTCACATTAAATGAATTGAACAGAGAGCATTAATCTGGGCAAATTACTTCTAATGGTTAGAAAACTATGGCTGTAGCAAAGTCAGACAATAGTTTCCATTAGAGAACAGAAAAATTATGCCCTATATAACCTCCTTTCTCTTAGACTGTACTGCTCAAGGAAGGTTTTCATTCTTCTGTGATATAATTTAGAAAATATTTCCTGGATCTCTGACAAAATACATGCCTAGCCTTCCCTGCTAAATTACCCAAAAGCATCTGCAATGATGGGTGTAAACCCAGCTTTTCTTTCTGAGAGTCCCAAACTCTAGTTGAGAGGGAAGGTATCAGGGAAAACACATACACACAAAAATAAATAAATACATACATAAATAAATAAATAAATAAATAAATAATAATAAAATAAATTAGCATTTCTTTAATTTGATTTCAACAACTGCCACTGGAAGTTGAGCCTAAATGGTTACATTCCCTGTGAATGTTTACAGGCTTTTTTTGCCAAATAGCCAGTGCCACCTGCAGAGGCAGTGTTTGGAAGAGCTTATTCATTCTGCATTTAGTCTAGAAAGAACATAGAAATAGGAGAAGTACCCACAGGCAAAAAAGCTCCTGTCTTCCCTGCTCCTCTTTTGAGATGTTTCTCCTGTTTTTCAGCCATCTGATCAACTGCATTGAATATATGCTTCTAGTCATCTGCTTCTAAGACTTTCAGAATACTGACTTTCTACCTATTTCCATGTTCTCATTGTTTACTGTTCTTGAGGTTCAATCAATTTACTGAAGGCATATCTGCTTCCTCCAGTGTTTTCAGTCACACTGATCCTCTTTCAACCTCTGCATGCACATGGAAAATGGATTATTATATTCTGCTATGAACAGTTTCTACATTTTATAACAGATGCATCAGATGTACTTGGAACCCTTGCCTAGATAGCCCTTATTTTTTCCTAAACTGACCATGTTTTACCATGTTTGTAAGTTTATTTCAGACAATATTTTCATGACCAATTGTTTACCATCAAAAGGCATAATTGTTTTTGAGACTGAATCAAGTGTGCCAGAGTTTAAAAAGAACACCTCTTATCATTGTCTGATATCTTTATTATCTGTGTGACCTATATTTGCACATAATTAAACATCATAGCACGAGTATAGACTCTGGTAACAGTCACCCATGTTATTCATCTTACTATTAGAAACTGCTTTTGAGAAACATTTACAGGTAGTCCCTATATGATAACTGTGATTGTGTGTTTCTCTGTCAAGTTTCTATGAATTACTGGGGCAGGGAGTTTAGCAGTTAGCAATACTGCCAAATTAGGTCCCCTTGATCTCTGAACATGTAATCCCAAATTGAATATTGGTGTGACAGATTGTAATACCAAGTATGACAATGTTAAACTGGTCCTCTCCTCTTCTTGGACTGCTCATAAACTAGAACAATATTATTGAGCACTATCACTGATGCAGTGTGGCCTTGGAAACACACCAAACCTGCCTCTATGTTTCTCCTGTGTGGTGAGAAGAAAAAGTATGCCACACAACAGACCTAAGCTTCCAAGAGACAAGTCCTCAAATCTTGCACATAGTACCAGAATAACCTTTTTTAAAAGCATTATTGGTGTGACATACACAATGAGCTCTGTAGAGGAAAAAGCCAGTCAATTTATCCAAATTCTTTCAATAGACATTCAGCTCTATCTGCCAGTAAGCAACATTCCCAGTCTTATTGCAGTCTGAGAAGAAAAATCTTCTTTGTGTTAGTATTTTTCATGCTGATCACCAGAAGGTTTGTGATGAATGTTGAAGACAAAAACAAAGCCTTCATTGAGGCTAATAGGAAGAGTGCCTCTTTCATGAGAGAAGGAGAAAAGGAATCAGGAAGATAATACAATATTTTGCAGGCATACAACTCTCATTGAATAGCAGTGCAAGAGCACTTTTCTGAAATATTATCTCTAGTAACTTTTCTGCACACAGTCTATTCACAGATGTATTTCCTTTGCCAATCTAAAGTAGCTATTTGATCAGTAGTTTAAAAGTAAATACACACTTGTGATGCACTCAGATACCACTGACTGTATTCAAGTGTCCATCATACAAAAGCACTCAAACAAAAAATACTCAAGTATCGATAGCTTCATTTCACTGTTCTGCACTGAGGACTTTTTCCAAGCAAAGCTTATGTTATTTGAGAGATCAGTGCTCAACTAGATAGCAGTTCTCCTAGCTGATTGGTACTCTGTTAGTGGTTCATCCCAGAGAGGGAGGAGGGAGGATTAGTGAACAGCTTAGCTGCCGACTGGGTTAAACCACAACACTGCCAAAGCTGCTATAGACCAAAGCCAGCTTTTTTTGGTAGATGTCATTGTAGCCATCCCAGTATTTCTAAATCCTAATTTTATTCAGATTTGTTTTTATCCCTATGCTAGAGATCTGTTGTTTTAGTAGTTGATGTTCTAAACATCCCTCGATCTGTTAAACTGAGTTTGTTTTTTTCTCTCTTTAATAATCTGTTAGTCAGTCAAATTGCATGTTACTTGAACTGTGTAACACTTATGTTCAGTTGTATGCACAGCAATTGACCTTTTCTTTTAAGATGCAGATGCTGAGTTTCTGTTGTTGTACACTGTTTCATCATTTATCAAATGTATACATGATAAAATTGTTTGAGTTTTAGGAACACATTCTTTGCTTACAAAGCAAAATATCACTGAAAAATGAGAGTCATCAGAAAACATGAAGACATTCAAGGCAACTTCATGGGTACATATTTCTGTTCCTTACTACTGACCAAAAAATAGAAGAAAAAAACAAACAAACAAAAAAAAAAGTGCTTTTTCTCAAGCACGCTAATTTGAATTAAGGGTTTGTTTTTTTCACAGAGGCAGTTTCCTACTGACACTGGCTCAGGCTACATTATGATTTACTTTTTCTTGTGAAGAAATGTGACATAAGTATGCCTCAAATATATGAGATTCAGACAGCAAAGACAGTTTCTTACAGGATTAGAGTAGAGAGGAAGGAAATAAATTCAGTGTATTCAGTCACCTCATCATGAAATACCCTATCCATGGCTTAAATATACAGCACTGACTGGTCAGAAGTCAGTTTTGTATTAAAAAGTAGATTCTTTCAGCTCATTTCAAGTGCTTTTTATAGGAGGTGTAGAAGAAATGTGAGAAAGAATTGTCCAATTATAGAAGAATCACAGAATCACAGTATCATTTAGGTTGGAAAAGACATCTGTTTTTTCATCATGGTGGCCTTCTTGGACACCTGAGCATCCTGCTGGCTCATATTCAGTCAGCTGTCTACCAATATCCCCTGGTCCCTTTCCACCAGGCAGCTTTCCAGACACTCTTCCCTCAGCCTGTAGCATTGCATGGAGTTGTTGTGCTCCAAGTGCAGGGCCTGGCATTTGGCCTTGTTGAACTTCATACAGTTGGCCTCAGCCTATCCATCCAGCCTATCCAGATCTCCCTGCAGAGCCCTCCTACCTTCAAACAGATCAACTCTTGTGTCTTACTGCCCTGGATATCCTCGTCCAGATTACTAATATAAAGAGAACTGTCCCCAGTACTGAGCCCTGGGGGACACCACTAGTGACCAGCCTCCAACTGGATTAAATTCCATTCACCACAACTTTGGGCCTGACCACCCAGCCAGTTTTTATGCAGTGAAGCATACACTCATCCAAGCTATGAGCAGTCCATTTCTCCAGAAGAATGCTGTGGGAAATAGAGTCAAAAGTTTTACTAAAGTCTAGATAGGCAACATCCACAGCCCTTCCCTCATCCACTAAGTGCATCATCTTGTCATAGAAAGCGATCAAGTTCATCAAGCAGGACCTGCCTTTCATAAACCCATGCTGACTGGGCCTGATCACTTGGTTGTCTTGTATGTGCCACATGATGGCACTCAAGATGATCTACTAGATAACCTTCCCAGGCACTGAAGATGAGAGGAGACAAGACTGGATGGATCAAAGGAGAAGAGTAAGTTGTTTTTTGCTTGTTTTATTTAGAGAGCATCAGTGCAAACTATTCAATTAAAACAACTTTGACTAATTAGATATTTCCAAAAATCCTCTTTAACTAAAAGTGTCTTTTCCTTCATTCTTTTGTCAAAAAGGACATCTATGCATTCTGATTCCTTTAAATAACTCTTCATGCTCTATTTTCATCATCGAATACACTCTTAGAGAAGTACTTTTAGAATACTTTTAGAGTAGCTTATTTTTCAAATTATCAGTTTAGATAAAAGGCAGACAGCAATAAAATTAAGTCCACAATTAACATGAGAAAATGGAAATACTACGCTGATGTAAAATGACAGTAGTGTGCTTTTGATTGCTTTATGAAAGAAAACAAATCTGTATTATCTGCACACAAAAAGTAGGAAATCATTTAAAGTCTCTAATATCATATTAAGCAGGAAGGAATTTTAAATGATTAGCTTAATTTGTACACTTTTTAAAAGGATAAAGTAAATGACTAATGTAGAAATGGGTAAAGCATAAGGTTAGAAGCATGGTTGCCATCTAAACTGCCATCTGAATTCACAGAGTCTTTCATCTAGTGTGACTTAGAATTAGAGTAAGGAAGCCAAGATCTAACATTGCTTCAGTCAGTAAAAAGGCATTTATTTTGGCTCTTGATCCCAAAT